TGAAGTGAGACTATATAAGTTAAAATGAAATAATACGTATAAAGGAAAGAAGAATATATTTTTCTTTCTTGTAAGATTAATAATATAAATTAACGACGGAAATTTTGAAAATATTGCTCGCGATCAGACTCTGTTTTAAGGTCACCAAGATAGGACAAGATGGTATCGAACAATTCTGAACAAAATAAAATTGGAATCTATTTTCAAGGTTCAAGTTTGACTTAACCTTCTCAGATAGCATACTATTTATAAAATATTTACGTAATATTTTTTTGATTTTTAATATTTTGTAGTCTTAGATTACATAGATCAATGACTATTTATTATAAATATTATAAAATATTTATCGTACATATTGTAATAAATACTATAAAAATACTTAATAAGTCATTAAAATCTAAGTAAAAAAATATTTACTAAAAGTATTTAATTATATTTATCATAAATATTATAGTAATAAACATTATGAACACTTATTATAAATATTTTGTACTGCCTGGATTGTTCTCAGTCCGTAAATAGAGTACTGAAGAGTATCATCAAACAGGGAATGATCAGACTTGAATCTTGAAAATTGTATTGAAATTTTATTTCGTTCAGAATTATACCATGTTCAAAATGATATCACTTTACCTTATTGTTCAAAGTAAAACACACATCACATGGTTATATTTAACCTTATAGAATATAATTTCATGATTATAAAGTAAAATGTCCTTAAACAACAAAAGTATGGCAATATTCCTTCTATAACAACATAACAACAACCTTCAATTTATGTTTATATTATATTTCAATGCATAATTTCCATATATTTACAGCGGATTTTGCTGTACGTAATTATTACTACATAGTACCGCAATGCGTAGCCAACAGACCGTTTTAATTGTGACCGCTCAATCTGCATACAGAGAGAAACGTTCGTCGGATACCTATTCAATGAATTTTAATACGGCTATCAATTATATTAGAAGCATCCGTAAAGCTCATGATGAGCGTTTGTAATTTCTCGTCAAATTTAGTAATTAATTATTTTTGACAATTCAAGAGCTTCTTCGATCACTTTCTAGTATTTCATTCTATGTATTTTGCTTTTGCTGCGTGGTTTCATCGTGCTTAAAATTCCAAAATTAATGACAGAAATTTGAATAACAAAGCTCTCTTCATTAGAAGAAAAAATTTTTTATCTTTCTACGCAATTTCTGTTGCTTGCATAAAATCGTAAAGCAGTTCGCGTGTAACAAATACCTAGTATGTTGAGCATCATGCAAGTCACTGCAAAGCAACCGTGTTTTTCTCTGGCACAAAAAAAGTTTACGAACATGTTGTTCAACTATGTCTCCACGTATACAAATACTTTACAAATGATCTTAAAACCGCTTTAGTCCACTTAAGAATATTTTCTAGCGCAAGAAAAGAACATATCATATAAACAAGACTTCGAGATTTATCGATAAGTACAAACCCGTTGTTAAAGATATAGTGTGGCAACCTAAACGGAATTTTTTCACAATTACAAATCACTTTTTGTAGCAGCACAATGAATAAATATTTAGCATACTTCCACGGAGTATATATTGGAAGTCGAGTTTTTTTTTACATTTTGTACATCATGAATATGTCTTAAAATATAAACGAATTACGTAAACAATTTACATATGCTAAAGCACTATTTGCATTTTTCAAAAATTACATATTCTTTCTTTCTATTCTTCCCTACAGCTCGTGTTGCGTAAACACGAGAATAAATTCATCTGTGCAAAAAAATAGTTATACCATCTAGACTTTTGATATACGTCGGTCAATATTGATTTTTTAGGAAATCACGGTTGGCAGATATCCTATATGTATACATAATTTTTTGCGTATGCAGTGAATGCAAAAAAATTCGTGTAGAGTAAATTTTTTTTTTAAAAAAACCTTATTTTTAAAAATAAACATTAGCAACTCATTAACAAAGAATAAAGTACACTGTATATTTTTCAAAATTATTTTACCTAAAAAGACACGTAATAATTAAATTTAATTAAATATTTAATTAAATAATTAAATATAATTTTAAAAATATATACTAATTAAAATATCTTCCTCAAAAATGAAAATGAAAAAAATTATATTATTTAGATGAACAAAAAGAATTCATATAATTGAGAAATTATTCTAAAGTTATAAACGCGAAGCTCTTTTATTTAAAAAATACTCTTTTGTTTATATTACAATGGAATATACTTATTGTATAAAGTTATTATTGTATAAAGTTAATTAATATTTATTTTCCACGAATAAGGATTATTCTGTTATAAAATAATTTTTCCTCTAGGAATATTTTTGCACTCACTGTATATATTTAGCATAAAACTACCAGACATCAGATTAAGTAATAGAAAACTCTTAAAAAAAGCAATCATTTGGTTATAGAACGATCACTTCCAATTCTGTAATTGCAAATGTGTAACTATATAGCTTTATTATTATATTATATCCGCTTCTCTCTTATTTTACAACATGAAAGTAGCAAATAATATAGTATTTCCGGTTTAGATTTCTACAAGTATTTATCTAGATAAAGGTCTGTTTTTTATTCCTGTAGTATTAGTCCGTACTAAAACTTTCTCGTTTTCTCCAAATATCAAACTATCTCATTTTAAGTTTTAAAGTATTACTAGTTCAGCCAGAAAACAGATCTCTAGAGTATATTTACTGTTGCGGAAGCAAGTTTTAAAGGAAAGGATGCGAATTTTAAAAGAAAACGTGTCACTTCCCTCTCATATAACCTTATCCAAGGGATGACTTAGAATGTTTTTAAGACATAGAAAAATTCTCTAAATTCTCTATATTTAGAACGTCTTTTAAAATTATGTGTTGTATGGGATGAAAGAATTAGAGCAATGAAGTTCCGCGTACACAATTATTCGTGGCGCGAGTAAACAATTCTGTTATGGCACGTCGGGACTGCGTGAAACAACGTAGAAGACTAACGAACACAATAATTAAGCGCATTCAGTTTCTGTCTAGTTTATAGCGTGCGTCGGCTAGATCACGGGTTAGGTCGCAGGAGCACACACGACACAATATAGCCAATTATACAGTCAATTTTTCTACGAATAGAGGAATTTCGTTCGTGAAGAAATTTGCCACTTTTTTCAAATACAATCAAGCAAAATCTGGGACGATCTTCCTAAAGGATTATCGAATGAAATTGTTTGCGCAGCGCTCAAAAGTTAATTCCATCGCTTAGATGAGCCATTCAGCTGTTTTCATTGAATCTGAGAATTTTGAATTGGATGCCCTCCAGATACACAGGATTGAAACACGTGACTTTGATGGATCGTTCTCGCGTAACTCTGGCAATATTCCGAACAGTTTGCGTCTTATAATTAAATGGATGTGCTGTACTGGTTCACCGATTACGAGTATACTGCGTGGTATAAATTTCTGTATACCATTGTAAGAGAAGTAACGAAGTTTAATGCTCCACATAGGGGTGAAACAGCTTACTCTCGTAAGCGCAATGTCAATCCTGCCTTTCGGCACGTCTCGAAAACAGCGTATGCCAGATCGTTTTCCGCACGATCGTAAACGAAGTTGGTAATTGCAATTGGTACAGACGATCGCATGTACACAGGCGTGTCCACGAAGTGTCGTTAACGGTGATTAAGTCGTGACGCCGGAAATAATCGCTGCGCTTATCGGAAAATCTAATTTCAGGCCCGTCAGACGCAATATCCACGGACACGGAGCTTAGCGGTGATTTCGCCTTTACGCTCGTAACAATTGAAAAACTTAAATAATTAAATCGTCAATTCGCCATTTATTCAGTAATGCAAATTTTCAATCGCGTCGAATTATCAGCAAGTCATTAACTGTTACAAGAAAACACGCGGTTAAAAAATTTAGATAAATACAGATTTAAAAATGATTTTGTTGAACTAATTAAAATAAAATTACATAGAACGCCCAAGCTGGTTACTAGAATATCAACATTTTTTGCAGCATTTCTCATCATGCTTGTCTTTTATACATAATTATTTTAATGGTCTAACAAAATCATTTTAAAATCCGGATCTAACTACATTTTTAGATATTTCAGTAAAATTATTCTTTCTTGTATTTAATAACAATTAATAATCTTCAGGAAAGTAAAATAAAATATCGGAATACTCCCCGGTTCTATTTACGTTAATTCATTAAGATTATGATTTCGTGACATGTAAAGATCTAATTGTTTAAGCATGTACGTATTCTGTTTACTGGTAACTGTGCGGATCTTTTCTTTCTTTCCCCTTTTTATCATCGTATAAAACATAAATTATAATACAAGTTCCTCTGGAAGACGGTAGGCGTTTATGCGTCACGGCAGATGCAAGTGAAAAGCGTCCTACATTATCAATCCGTACGTTAATGCCACTTTAGATAAAAATATTTGCATAGCCCTGCAGTTCCACTCGTGTGCACTCACGTTGCACTTATTCTATCGTAAAATGAGACTCGTATGTAAAATCCTGTCATCGTAATACGTCTGACAGAATAATGGGAGACATATATACAGTGCTATAAACGCGAGAAAATATAATGCACAAATTCTAACCTACGATTAGTAACTACGTCAAAAGATAATACTCTAGCATTAACAAACTATTAAAAAATGCTTTCTTCCATTTTTATGGTACTCCCACGAATTATTATTTAACGCGTTTTCGTAATATTTTCACGAATTATTTAACGTGTTTTTACTTTCACGAATTATTATTGCAACACCGCGCGAGAAGCATCCGCAATTTCATTCTCTCAAATCATACTATTACACTCCGATGAGCAAACAATTCGTGTTAAAGTTTTTTTCTTTTACAAAATAAATGAATTTTATATGACGGACATGGAACAGTAAATTGAACGTTAATCGACAATCAAGACACAATCATCCAATCATACTACAGCTTATAACGACATCGCGAACGACTTAAATTACGATACTTAAATTTTGTGATGATGCAACTTACCTGTATTGATCGGTAAATATCCTGAAAATAAGAATATTCATATTTATTCGATAACGTTCAACTATGTTCAACATGCAGTTAGTAATATTTATGCTTAAATCGCAAAATGTAAAAAGATTATTATAATTTGACGATCAAACAAACGTTACTGAATTGTCACGTACAACGCGCATTTTACCGTACAGAATAACAAAATTTGTCAGGCACGATAGGCAAGCGTAAAATATGTAGTACACGATTCGACATTTCCAACTCTGAACTGAAAGACCGGCGAAAAAGCAGCAAGAGAATATTAATCATTACGCAGCGAATATAATCTCTTTTTTTACAATGTCTATAGTATTACAGAAATGATGACGGAACTCAATATGGATCTTGCCCATTTTAGCCACCTAATAATCTACGCTCTAAATCAGCAATGTTACGTAATAGATTGTAAAGCAATGTCGCTGTTGCGTAAGCGCGAAATTTGCATCTTATGCTAAAGCTGTGTGTATTCGTTGCGTATACGTGAAGTCGATGCGATTTTGTGTCCAAGTTTGCTCGATTTCGTGACCACCAAAGAGAAATTATTAGAGGAAACTGATAATATATTTGATAGTATCATTGAAAAACAATAAAAAATCCATGTTCCGATAAGAAGTCATAAAGTTCACAAGCGTAGATTGTACAATTATATAGTCTGTAAACCTTTAACAATTAATTCACCAAATTCTTTAACATTTTAGACTGGGAATAATAATAAATAAAATAATTATTTAATTGTATATTATTATCTTCCAACATATTTTGCAGTACCAACTGAAAGTAACATCAATTATAATCTCGCATCCAACAATGTCACATACATATAACACCATATATATATACATATGTTATATTACATTTATTGTTGATTGCGAAATAACATTGATATTACTTTTAGTTGGTGTCGACTAGGCATATTTTGCTTAATGGCAATATGACGCAATTACGATTATAAGAGATGTATTTAATTAAAATAGGAATTAATTAAATTTAACGACAAAGGTAGACAATATTCGTAACATAAAATCGCAATAGAGACAAAAAATTTCACACGGAAACGTAACATGCACGTTTATCATTAATATTCGGGAAGCAGACTAGTCGTCCACGTGAAGTTATATAGATTAATTATTAGGACGTTGCTTTACATCGATGATTATATACGGGGGTGTTGAATGACTTGTTAGTGTGGAATCTAAGTGTGAAATAAAACAAAAATGAGTGTTAGATAATAGGATCGAGTACATACGCTCGCTCAACAGGAAGCTCTGTCTCTTTGAACCTGCAACCCAAGGATCACATACATCATATCGTCACACCCCAACACCCACTAGCGACGGTAAAACACTTAAATAAATAACAGCGGGTAGATGATGCTTCCAAACTACACTCTGCGTCAATACGATATCGTTTCAAAATATCAAACGTTAGAAATGCGTAAGATAAATCAAAATATAGATTAGTTTTTCGAATTGAAAAAAATGCGGAATTTACGGAAATGATTATTTTGTTAAAGTATATTTAAAAATTTAGATACGAATCTAAAAATAATTTTGTCGGACTCTCTGCAAATAATTATGTAGCGTGTTCAAACTTGTTACTAGAAAATTAAAATTTTTCGCAGCATTACTCGTCATGTTTAACATTTCTACGTAATTATTTTAATGATCCAATAAAATTATTTTCAAATCTCTATATTCACATCTAAATTTTTAGTTATTTTGACAAAATAACGTTTTCCTCGTGTGCAAACATAATTCATTTCCATACATAAAATATCATTTCTTATTATTATTACAGTTTTACTATAAGATAATAACATTCGGAAATATCATCTCACCGTGGACGATTGGAACGTGTATACAAGTGTAGTAATGATATCTGTGAGTGAGAAAAAAGTAAGTAAGAACCAAGTAAGCATCATCGTCATCAATAAGCTACGATACTTTGTCAAGATACACAAAAGCACGAAGACAAATCACGAACTGTTTACGTATGTACAGTTGTGGGACCAAATGACATTGTTGCACGCATAAAATCACAATTGCAAGCAACGAAGATATCACACGTTCGTACATCACAAGAACAAAGATCTCTTTTTTAATTATCAATGATAAAATCGAATTTAAAACAGAGAGTACAAGTAATGGTACACAATTTGCACATGTAATTGATACAGTCGTGTTAATCATCTGAGTCGTTTATCATTCAACTATTTCAAAGGAAGATAACATATCTTGTCGGGTATCATGCCGACAGTATTATCGGCACCATTAACAAGGGTCTCTTCCGTTCTCCATTTTATCGACTTCCGTCCAAAACTATGATATCTACGAAGAAGACACCTACATTATCGATACGCGTTCTCTTCGTTGCTGCAAAACATACGTTCCCACAACCTCCAACGATATTACAGACTGGTACTGTCTAGTATCAGTAGTATGTCTGATAAATAGAACTAGAGTAAATAGCGGAGCGACGAACATTACGATCAATTTACCACCGAACGAACACGCGACGAAATTTTCAACCGTAGAATTGCAGAAAAGTGCTGTAATGTGCACGCATGCATATAGATTTCGTAAAACATGTGTATATATATTACAATATTATTTTGAAAATTAAGCGAACAATTTATGTCGTTGTAAATCAATAATTCGCACAATGCGATTTAAATAAATAAATAGGGCGACATGTGTGGTTTTTCCTGTACAAATTGTGTTAATTTGTATTCTGTATATTTTTAATCATACGAACGTTACTTCAACGCTTGTAAATAATTATACATTTTCAACGAAATACGTTTGAAGTAAAATGTCGAAAACTTTAAATTCCTTCGCATATAAAAGATAAACTATAAGAGTCTATAAATATCGTATATTTCTGTAGTTAAATATTTCTCATATAAATGTTGTTTTCTGTAACTTATAACGGAGTAAGTTAATCGTTAAAGTTTTTCTGAATAAAACTTTTTTAACTATACACACAGAAAGAATATTTTTGCTGGATACAGACTTAAAAATCTAATTTTGTTGACCAATCGAAATTTTTATGTGGAGGGTCAAACGTAATGAGTAACGCAGTAAAAAGTTTTAACATTCTAGCAATCAGCTTGACCTATAAAATTATTTTGATGGTCTAACAACATTTATTTTCAAATCTGTATTTGGCTAAATTTTCAAATCCCTCAGCAAAATCGTTCTCTTTGTACACGAAAGAAATTTGCTAAAGTATTAAAAAATTTAGCTAGATACAGATCTAAAAAACAACTTTGTTGGACCATCAGAATAATTATGTAGGATACTCAAATTAGTTGTATAGAATGTCAAAATGTTTTTGTAGCATTGCTCATTATGTTTAAGCGTCTTACATAATTATTTTAATAATACAACAAAATTATTTTTGGATCTGTTCCAGCTGAATTTCCGGATTTCAGAAAAATCGTTATATTCAGAAATAGGGAAAGAATAAATTGCAAAATTATTTGATTAATGCGTGCATTCACGAGCACACAATGAAGTATTACATAATAAATAACATTAAAATCACGTGTCGTGTTTTACAATAAGTAAACGAATGTTTCTTCCACATTCAATCAATATTCTTCGTAAAGCTAATAAATTCTCCGTCACGAGTGCGTTTAAAAAAGAATATTATGAGCTTTTTCGCCCAAGTAGCGTTGAAACAACCTTCACTAATCTATCTTCGTTATTCACATAAGCCCTGATTTACTGATAATCGATTTATAACGTAATTTCGAGGGGTAGAAAGGAAGAGACCGCGGAGAAGAATATATTAGGGATGCTTACCTCTCGCTGGCGATGGAGCTGTTTCGAGACATCGACTTCGGCGACATCTCGAAGTCGCTGTCACTCCGGTACAGGAAGCTTTCCCTCCTTTGGGGCAGCGTCTGGAGAACAAGCCCCGCGCTCGGCGAGGCGCCTCCGCCACCGCCGGCGCCGCCATCCAAAGTCGAGGCGCCATTTTCCACGTCGAAACTGTAATGAGAAACGTAAACTCTCGTTAGAAGCGAGTTACAGATTTCTCACCTCAGAGGATTCGAGCGCACAGAGTTCTCTTTATTCTATGACGCGTCCACGAGAGGTAATAACTTCGCTCTGACCTTTAGTCACTAATTTTGAATTATTATGTCAGCGAGAAATGATTCTCGCAGCAGAATTTCGCATAAATCTACTATGATAGCGTATAAATAATAATTTTTCGCTTACAAAACTACTCTCGGCCTGATAAAACAGGTTTATGAATTGTATTGTGTACAGAAACACAAAATATGGCCTGTGCTTTATGATCTCGCAAGACAGAATATAGAATATCGCCATATAATAGAATACCGCTTCGGTATTCTGAGTATGATAAATGAAGCGCGTATTAAAATATATTGATGGTGAGTCTGGATACTTTCATAAATTTCTATAAATGTATCGCGCTTGGTACGCTGCAAGAAGCAATAAACAAAACTGATTAGGTTTCTTTTCGCAGTTGTCTCGGTGTCTTCTTGATCTTTCTCTGAAGGTATACTCATCGAGGACTCGTATCCCATTTTTCGTTCGTACTATTTTACTATATTATTCAGAACGTTTGTCATTTACTGTACACGATAGGTCGTTCGTGTCTCGGGTTAATTTTCATGTCATTTATTTATCAAGACTCGTAAAAAGTATGATCTCGATATAAAAGCATGATAAGCCACAATCAATAATAATGAATTGGACTTTTACAAATATACAAAAATGATTAAGTGATTGTTATATGTATAAGATAAGAGATAGTATAATTTCAAATATAATATAATTAAACATTGAAATTAAACTTAGATCTTATTACGGTCAGAATTGTATCATGTTTGAAATTGCACTACTTTACTTTATACAAAAGTTAGTCCAAAAGTAAATTTCCTTTTTAGGAAAAACAGGAAAACAAAGTTTAAAAATCTGAAAAATTTATTTTAACTTACACCTTGGTCATTTTTCAAAAAAATCGGCATTTATTTCTATGCATCTTTAAATTGTGGTATGGAATGTGAAATTCATCAATAATTCTTTGAAAGAAACTATGTATATTAAAAATGAAAACTATATATATGTATATTATACACATATATATTTTTTAAGTACATTATATTCACTAAAATATATTTACTTTTTGTTAGTATGACATTCAATTCATTATTATTGATAGTACCTAGCTTGTTATCATGCTTTCCACGAGACCATACTTTACTTATGAAATTTTCACAAATATGAAAATAATATCGATCACTGGATTAGTCTTTCCAATCACCACATCTGATTGAAAACATGGGAAATATTTTCAACGATAAAGCTCCGAGAAACACGAATATTTACTTTGAAGCAATTAACTTAGCACATTCAAAAAATTTGGAATTCTTTACCCAAAACTAGTCAAAAATCTCATGGGAAGCATATCTTGGTGAACATTATAGGTAGGTACAGTTTAATAATGGTGATTGGCCGCCATACTAAATAGGATAAACTACGGTGAGATAGTCATATGGAAAAGATGACCATAGACTTTCAGAATGACTACAAAATACTCTATTTAGCCAAATTTATTCTAAATGCATCTAATGTACTCTTAAAATATAATTTCCATTAATAAATAATAAACAAGCTTATAAATATTAAATACAAAATAGTAAACAGGAGCACGAAAGCCGAGCCGGAATAAATAACGTTGAATATTAAAACAAATAAATCTGTTACAAAATTTCATGCAAAAATATATAAATAAGTATAAAAATCTCTGATTAAAATGTCAAATTTTGTTACTATATTTAGCAACGAAACCTTTTTTCATTGATGTTCGTGTCTGTTATAAATCCGAATTGGTATAGAAGACATTTAACTGTTATAATTGATTCGTGCTTTGCATATTTCGGGATTTTTAATTTTCAACACTATTTCATATTTATATTAACGTTGTTATGATATTGATAAAATGACCTAATTGAGATTAAAACGTTATTTGTATTATTGACAATTCGTTATATATGGTAAATATTAATACTCAGATCTTGATGGCTTTCATATTTCTGTTTACCACTTTGTATACCTTTAATTTTTGATATTTATGGCTTCTTTTAGAAAACTGTTGACGTCGCTCTTGTGTTACTGAGTACTATATAATCATATTTTTATAGTAACCTTTTAAATTATATTAATTGAAGCGGAAATAATTCTTTAGTGATATATTGTGTATTTAAAAAAAAGATTTGATTAATCGGAGGAAATTTACACATGTGAATATACTCAGTATATACTCCATATATACTACCGCTGTGTATGATCAACACGTTGCAGGTGAAAGAAAAATCTGTCGACGCGAGCAACCTTAATTAGATGAAGCGTAAAATGGGCGACAAAATCTTCCTCATTACGCTAACGACGTGCAAGCGTCTTTTTACGATGCCAAGAGATGTCGAGTTGTATCCTTTTTAGCTCACGTTGCGTCATAAATATATCTAGTTAAAACCCACAGGAATTCTAGCAGATAACTGAAGCGAAACTTTTGTCACCTGATGAGTGCTCATTAAATCGCGAATCTTTTATCTGCGTTTCACATGTGCGTACACCACGTGACTGTATCTTCATGTTTATTGAAATTTCTAGGATTTCTAGAAATAGTCTGAGAAAATCGATGTCCATAATTACTTTTGATAATTTAAAACAAACATTTGTGATGATAAATATAGAAAGATGTAATCTAAGTTACCTCTCCCCTGAAAATATTAATTACATTTTTATAAGAAAGAAGTCGAACCGTATGAACTCGTAAAACGAACGCGGTTGAGCGGTAATACAATAGCGTGGTGATATTCCGCGTACATTCTCCTATTGCCCTCGCTGCGTCGCATTGTAGCAATGAAATTGCATGTTTTCAAAGAGTGTCTGCAAAGTCGGAAGCAAGCAGTTACCGTGGTCACGGTAGTTCGCTTGCAATAATGCGGCCGTCACTTAATTAATTTTTTTTTCTTTTCTGTTTACATCGAGAGAATATTGCAAACGCGGCTACATTTTTCTGTGTACGATAACAATCGTTACATCGTATTATGTAAACTGTGATTAATCTCGTAACCTTGCCATTCAGTATGACTAATAGTCCGGCCGTTGTCAATGATAGCAGTCCGCGATTGTGTCCCGCGTAATCTGAAACGTGAATGCTATTGATAAAGTAATGTATTACGTGAAGACAACTACACTCGCTATTTGCGGAAAGAACATGAAGACACTCATCAAACGAGATACGCGCGGCGGACAAGGTGCGTTTGTTTGTACATGACAGGACCAAGCCTAGACAATCAATATTTATTGCAAGCTGAAGTATAAATGTCATTAATACGTACTTCCGCGATTCATAAGCCGCACCTGTTAGCTCGAAAACAAATCTCCAAAACTAGACTTTCATCGAGCTACATACGTTGGTATGTCGTTATAGGTATATCAAAATACTCAATGCTAAATTCTCCATGAATTTCAAAACGAATTTCACTCGTGAATGTTTCAATGCGACGCGAGATAAGGGTTCTTCACCCAAACAATTTATTGGTTTAATTCGTACAACAATCGTATCGACGACGCTGCACAATTGATGTCTGCCGCTTTAACTCGCAAAATCTGCTGCTGGAAAAATTATTCATTCGACGTCATTTATCGGCGACACTCGGTACGAAAAGCTACGCTCGTAGGCAAGTATTTGTGCGTGCTCGTGTCTATCGATTTGTAAATTCACGTGCAATTTTGATAGATGTTATACACGTGAATCGCCAGTTCAGCAAGCTACCATTAATCTCCGGACATATAAAGGCGAGCGTTATTTATTAGATCTCGGTACGGTATACGAAATATTCAACTATTTATCCCAATAGCGATCGCAATCAATGATCGAGGCAAGGTATACAGCCATAAATCGAATTTGCTATTTATTCTGGGTCAATTGCTAGTCGATATGATCAGAATTAATTAAATCGTGTATAATATATGCAGACACACGGAGATAAAAGCTAACAAACAGTGTCAAAGGAATAGATCGAATTAAATTGCTCAGGCAATTGACTATAGAGTGACTATAGTTTGCTAACATCTGTAGTAATTCCTCGTCTCGTTATGTCTCGATAAACGCGTACGTTAATTGATCTCGCGTATATCAATGATTAATTACGCATCCCGGCGCACAATTAAACGGCCGCAAGAGTACTATCGATTGTTTATCGAAACTCCTAATTGATGCAGTACGCTTGGTTCAATTGACGCAGCTCCATTCGCGTGCGAATTTTGTCGGAAGTGTGCGAATGCATTGTTCCTATACGCGCAGTCCTACACACGCGTCCACGCGCGCGCGCACCACACACGCAATACGTATCACTTTCAGATCATCCATGTTGTCCGTGATTGCTGATCAATTACCTGAGCCCTACAGACATTACTTATTCGGCCGATATAGAGGAATTCGCGGCATGATGGAAAGTTCATCACTTATAGCTCGCATTCCAAAATCAATAACGAAACCGAGGATCTCGTTATCGATTTCGAAATGTGATTTCGCATGAATTCGTCGTCATTTATAGTCACTTTCCCGGTTTCACGGCAGGAAAGTAGCTATAAATGATAAACTTTCCATCACGATAATGCCGCGAATATCTTTGTCGGCCGGATAAATAATATCAGAACTTAGGACACAAATAAATATTCTTCCACGCGCGCATTTCATGAAAAGTAAGAAGAAAGGTACACTCAACGGGATGCGGTAAGGTTATATTTGGCACAAAGAAAACTTTCGTGCCAAAAAGAAGACGAACTGGCTCAGTATTGTATAGACATTTGATGGATATAACATATAAGTTAGTTCTTGACAAGAGATATGTACATATCGATAGCTCGTTTTAGCAAAGCACCGTGCAAATACCTACACTATCGCGTGCATGCATTAGGGTAATTGCATTAAGGTAATGCTCGTTTTA